TCAAAAGCTGTGATTTTAATTTCTACTGTTTCCAAGCCAGACAAAGCTACTTCTATTTCCCAAGTTAGCCCCACTCATTCTCATATGCTTTGTGCTTCCTTGTTCCCTACTTCCTTCCACCATCATATCCTTCTGCTTACTAAGTTCAGACCCATTTCTTCTCAAGGGCAGCATCCCTGACCACCTCTCTGTTCTCCCTTGGAGTCCTTCATTAACGAGAGTTGGTTTCTCTGAACTAGTAAATTCTGGGTTCCTTGAACCCAGGACCTGAGTCTCCTTACCATGCTTCCGTCTGGCATCTTGGGCAGGTCAGGCACAAAGGTGCCAAATTAAAACTTGATGAACGAACCAGCATATGCAACATACATATCCTCCCAACTCCTTAAGTGTTTTGGTAAAATCCTCTCTGTCATTTACCTGACTTCACTGAGAAAAATACCTTTTAGGTGGAAGAAGAACATGCCCAGTAAAAAAATCCCAATAGAAACATATTTTAAAGAGAGACCCTATGTCTCATCACACAGCCCATAAAGCCATAAAAGTTGTCTGCAGTCCAAACAGTAACTGTCCTTCTTAACTAAATGAATTCTGATATCTTGAAAACGTGGGCCAGGTGCAGTGGCTCATGCCTGTTATCCCGGTACTTTGGGAGGCCGAGGTGGGCAGATCATGAAGTCAGGAGGTGGAGACCATCCTGGCTAACACGTTGAAACCCTGTCTCTACTAAAAATACAAAAAATTGCCCAGGCGTGGTGGCACATGCCTGTAGTCCCAGCTACTTGGGAGGCTGAGGCAAGAGAATCGCTTGAACCCTGGAGGCAGAGGTTGCGGTGAGCCAAGATCGTGCCACTGCACTCCAGCTTGGGCAACAGAGCGAGACTCCATCTCAAAAAAACAACAAAAAAAAAGGTGATAGAAATTAGGGCATCGGAAATTTTTTAATAGCTTTGAAAATTAACTACTTTCCATTCCTGAGCTTTTATTAATCTCTTTTAAACCCAATATTTAGAAAGCATTCATTTTGACAAAATAAACTTTCTTGTACTATACATTTGTCTAATTTTATCATAAAACCATTCAGCCTTATCTCTATAGAGCAGTATTTTGATAAATGTGTAGAATATAGTTTCCACCATGAAACAGCCCTGTATATGCCGGCTGAAGATTCAAAAAGAAGAAAGCTTACCAGCTAAATAGCTGTCTGTTTTAGGACCCAAGTAACCACAGCCTTACAATCAAATAATTCCCTGTCCAATCTCCCAAAACTCCAATGTATATCAAAGACCCACTTCAATAACTTGGGGGAGGTTTATAAGTTAATTATAACAAAAACGTTTGGTAGAAGGGGAACAGCTAATTATTCTCCCTGTTTATAAAATATAAGCTATGATTTTACGGAAAAGCAATGAAAATACTAGATAAGTATCTGTGGTGTGGATTAAGAGAAATGCAAAAGGATATTCCAATTTCTATTTTGGCATTAATTAGTGCCCCATGCCAACACCTTCTTGCCTTTGTTTTAATTTAAATGTAAATTCAGGTGAATTTTATATTTTAGATCTTTTCTATTCTTATTGACAAATAAGATAAGAGAACATATCAGCAGAGAATAGGTCTTCTCACATGCCAATTAAAGGCATGATACTGCATAATTATTATGGGATAAAGATTAAGCAGATAAAGCTAAAAAGCCCTAATGGAAACATTTCAGATAAGGAAGAGATCAGAGACGGATGAAATTGGACATACATCCCAACTAAAGCTTAAACTTCCTACACTTCTGAGTGACTTTGATCCAATAAATATTTATTGAACACCGACTGTTTGCCAGGCAATATTGGGGATAGCAGACACAAGTTGAAAGATACAATCTCACCTTTCAGGGTATTGGTATTCTCTGACCACAAATGTTACACTCAAGTTACATGTTTACATAAAGTGTATACTGCATTGTCCAATGTGAAGGTCTGAGCCACAAGTGCCTATTAAATTTAAATTTATACTAGCCACATTTCAAATGCTCCATAGCCACTGGTGGCTAATGGCCACTAGCCATACTGGACATAGGCATCATCACATATACATATAGAGACCTATCTACACAGGTTATTTCCATAAATATATGGACAGGGAACAAGTGCATCATCACCGAAAGTTCTAGTAGACAGCACTGTATAGACTCTGTTCAGATGCTCCATGATTGGTCTATATCACTGATCCTGTGATGCTAGGGACACCATTTAGTTAACCTGTGAGTCTGTTTGTTTTGCCATAAACACAACCAAAATGTCCATCAACAAAGGGATGGTGGCCTGGTGTAATGGCTCGCACCTGTAATCCAAAAACTTTGGGAGGCCAAGGTAGGAGGATTGCTTGAGCCCAGGAGTTCAAGGCAGCAGTAAGTTATAATCATGCCACTGTACTCCAACCTAGATGACAGAGCAAGACCCTGTCATTATATTAAAAAAGGAAGAAGAATGGCTAAATAATATGGCCTATCCATACATGGAATGCTATGGAGCAATTGAAAACACCAAGTTAGATCAACCTGTACCAGCACACACAGATTTCTGCACCTAATACTGACAGGAATAAAGCAGGATGAGTTAAATATCCAATGTAATAGCATTTGTGTAAAACACACACTCATGTTGAAATCTACCACTGTTTTCTACAAACCTATCTCCAAATACACAAACATACAGAAAAATCTATTGACCAAACAGATAAATGAAGTTACCTCTAGGATGGTGGCTAAAGGGGATTTGCCCATACATAAAATTTAAAACAAGATAGTTTGCGGTAAGATATTCATATTTTCCTTATTAAGATGAAGATACGAATAGTCATCACTGCCCTGTCGGTACTTTTTAGGTACCAATAAAAGTGCTTTGAATATTGTAAAACATTCTTGGTTAGAGTATAAACAGAATTTGTTACAAGATGTTTAAGACCTACAGAGGCAAGCAAACACATTGCCTGTAAAGAACAATCTGCGATTAGAAAAGTCCATTCTCCACTGTGCCAAAACTTGTTTATGGGCCAGCCAATGGGGAGAGATCAAAGTAAAAGACCATGTCACCATCCACAGGCTGCTTACATACTAACTGGAAGGCATACATTTTTACAACGTGGGATGAATATCATGAACTGGAAGTCCAAGATGATACAAGAACTTAGAAAAGATTTGAAAGGAGAATAAGAAGAATTAAGCAGACGAGTTTTGTGTCATGGGGAGGAGGGCAATGATTCAGGCAAGGCATATAAATTAGTAATGTGCAGAAATGAAAAGAAATGGGAAGAACTCTAGATTGCGTAGAGTAGAGTACTTGAAAGAGAACTGAGACAGCCAGATCTTTCAGGACTTTGCAAGCCATGGTAAAGAACTTGGAATTTATCTTCAAGACAGGGGGAAGCCACTAAATTGTGATTTTCAGTATGGGAGTGTCACGATCCATTCCGTTTTTGTATATCATTCTGGCTACAGAATGTAAAGTTAAAGGAGAGGCGTGACACACTCAGCAAGATCTAAGGGTGTGCCCTTAGAATAGATCCTGGGCTGTAGAGGTAGCAGTAGGGATGTAGAAAAGCAGGCTGACATGATAGACAGCCAGGAGACAGAATGGTTGTGATTTGGATACAATTGATGGAGCAGATAAATACATTAGACTTCCCCAGCTGGAGGTATAGAAACTCAGCATATTTCTTTTAAATGCCATTTTTCAAATGTTAAAGATCTTCACCTTTTTTTATAGGTTCATAATCATTTATCAATAATCGCCAAATCCAAAAAGGTCTGAAAATTCAAAGTTTTTCTGTAAGATGACAGCAAAACCTGACTTGAATTAACATGAAGTTCTTTATCCAGCCTTATCACATCCTGCATGAATATTCATATATTTCACTGCAGACATAATAATTCTATGATTATGGGGTACAAGTGGAGAACACAGTAGGTCTCTAAGGTAATAGTTGGTATATGTACTATGTTACCCACACAAAACATGAACAAAGTCTGAATTCAGCAACACATTTGGCCCCCAAAGTTTCTGGTAAAGAACTGCAGGTGGAAATTTTCCACTTCCACTTTTCTGCTTTAAAGGTGGCTGAGATGGTGCTGATATATACCACCATAACCACACAGCCCACATAGTTGTGTATGTCTATGTGTGTGTTTGGTAGGAGGAATGGGCTGCAGGTAAATCAGCTGTTATTGTTCACTGTGCAATATGATCTGGAGTTAAGAATGTATGTGTTTTAACCACTGACCTTTAGACATACATCACATGAGCCTGGACATGCTCATTTTCAAGGAGTTTTCATAACACTGCAGAGCAACTGCTACAGGACCCACGTATCTGTTCCCCTGGGGACTGACACTTGTTTCTAACACAGTGTCTGCTGGAAGAACCCAGGGGTATCAAAAGAAATCAATCCCAGCCTCTACCTACAACCATCAACATTCATATATATTTTTTAACCACTAGTACAGCACTCTGCAAGGGAATTTGGAGATTACAAATGAATGGTACCTGATTCCAAACTATTCCCAGGGAAGTTGTTCTGAAGAGGATGTCCTATAGATGTTGGTTAAAATGATAAACTAGTAATAAAAGAGAGGATACTAATCTATAACACCAAGCATGAAGTGAGAAAGCCACGCTGCTAAATTTGAGTATAGCGTATAAGAGGAGAGAGAACAGAGCATCTGAGGAAACAATTCCTTTGGTGAGTGAGATTTGGAGACAGGTGAGCAAAAGAAATTGAAGCACATCTTCCCAACTGACCTATAATGTAACTCTCCATTGTTACCCCCTGAGGGACATTATTGAAGACTTACCCTAGTCATTAAGAAATTTTTGGAGTTGTATTTATGTTAACTTTTGGATTAAAACTGATCTCAAAGCAACCTTAGGTTTCTTTGGGTTGCAAAAACAGTGAAGTAGGGAGATTCCTGGTGGGTTTTCACCTATCAGAAATACTGACCAGAGAGGTCTTACCTTCAACACAAGAAGGCTGAGCTCGAGTTGTGCCTGCCACCTGTCCTGGGAAGCAAGAGCACTTGACCGTTTGAGACCGCTCTTCTATGCGGTTCTTATTGCAGCACCTGTGCACAGCGACCACCTCACAGGTCCCTTGCTTGATTTGGTGGTGGCCTAGTAGGTAAAGGGGGAGAAAAACAGACCCAGTGCTGTTAGAAGGAAATGACACCACCACAACCAGAACAATGCTATGATGACATTTTCCAACTTCCCATGCTATGCTTATGAGTCTTTGTAACTTTTTATTTTGGTAACATGTCATTTACCAATTTATATAAAGGCGGTAAGAAGAGTGCAAAAGGCTTCTGTGAACCTGTGGTAGGCAGAAATGAGGCCTCCAGGATCCTCAACCCCTGTGGTCACACCCATGGTTATATTACGTCAATTACATGACAAAAGAGATTTTGCAGATGTGACTGAAATTAATTGGTTGCTTTTTGGGTTTTTTGAGACAGAATCTCACTCTGTCACCCAGGCAGGAGTGCAGTGATGCAATCCCACTTCATTGCAGCCTCTACCTCCTGGATTCAAGCGATTTTCCTGCCTCAGCCACCTGAGTAGCTACAATTACAAATGTGTGCCACCACACCGGCTAATTTTTGTATTTTAGTAGAGAGGGGGTTTCACAGTGTTGGCCAGGCTGGTCTCAATCTCCTGACCTCAAGTGATCTGCCTGCCTCAGGTTCCCAAAGTGCAGGGATTATAGGCATGAGCCACCGTGACTGGCCAACTGGTTGATTTTAAGAGAGGGAACATAGCCTGGATTATCCAGTGGGGCCAGTGAGATCAAATGAGTTGAAAAGCAGACAGATTAAGAGCATCAGGTGTCATTACTGGCTTGACAATGGAGGGGCCACATGTCAAGGAAATGGAGATCTCATTCCTACAACCTTAAGAACTGCCAATAACCCAAGTAAGCTTGGACGCTGATTCTTCCCCAGAGCCTCCCATAAAGGAATGCAGCCTGTTGATACCCTGATTTGAACCCAGTGGCAAAACCGTGAGCAATGAATCTAGCCACGCAGTGCCAGACTTCTGACCTACAGAAACATGCTGCTAAATCTGTAGTACTTTGTTACAGCAGTGATTGCTAACTAATAATATACTTCACCCAGGTTCACCAGTTGTTAACATGTGGCACCATTTGCGTTATCATTCACTCTCATGTTTTTCTAAGCCATTTGAGAGTAAGTTTCAGGCATGATGCCCATTTATCCCTAACTACTTCACTGTATATTTTCTAAAAACAAAGACATGAGGTTATATAATGATTAAAGATAGAAAATTTGGCATGATGCAATGCTACTATGTAATGTACAATCTATATTCAAATTTTGCTAATCTCCCAATAATGCCTTTTATAGCTATTTTCCCCCCTGCTGAGAATCCAACCAAGGTGCATGCCTTGCATTCAGTTGTCACGTTTCATTAGCCTTCTTTATTCAGAAACTCCTCCTTTCTTGACCTTGACATTTTTCAAAAGTTACATGCCAATTATTTTGCAGAATGTCCCTCAGTTTGTATTTGTGTGATGCTTCCTCTTGATTATATTCAAGCAATGCATTTTTAGCAGAGTTCCCCAGAATGGATTCTTTATTCTTAGTGCATCATATCAGGAAACACTCAGTGTCTTTTTTTCCCCATTATCCGTGTTATTACCTTTAATTACATGGCTAGGGTAGTATCTGTCAGCCTTCTCCATTGTAAAGGTATTATTTTTCTTTTTATAATTAGTAAGCATTTCGAGGGAGATATATTAGTGAGACTATGAATATATCCCATTCTTTATCAGACTTTCATCTACTAGTTTTAGTACCCATTAATGATTTCCACCTGAATCAGTTATCAATATTATAGTTGTAAGACTGTTTCTATATTAATGTTCAAATCATCCCAGATCTGGGCAAGAGGAGACCCTTTGTATTGTCCTACATCTAGGCAGGAGGAGCTGTGTCATATTCCCATCATTCTTTGAGAATTTAATAACTTTTGGACCCTCAAGATGTTCTAGACTTAACTGGTATTTTCCCTGCCTCCATCATTTATTCAAGAATCCTTGATTACTTTTCATGGGGCATCAGGTTTAGGAACCTGAATCTCAATGTGTAGGTTTACTCATTACAAGTAGGGAGTGATTCGGACCCTCTCGGCAAACAGGTCAAGGAATTATGTGTGCAGGTACAGCATAAGTACACACTGATGTCTCCAATTCCAATCTAGTAATTTACTTTGGAATCCATTTTATCAGTTAGGAGTCTTTTGTTGGAACAACAAAATCTGATTTGAGCTAACTTAACGCAGAGAGATTTTACTGGAAAATCAGGAGTTTGTAGAATGAAGAGCGAATGTAGCTTAACCATAAGTGGAACCACTCCCAAGGCCCAACCTGAGTAATTCCACTCTGAATCTGTCATTCTACTCCACGTGTTAGCTCTAGGAAGGGGTGCATCTGACTGGCCTGGCTTAGGTCACATGTCAGCTACAGCAGCTATGCTCTAAGATGCTTGCCTGTCATCCCCACCTCCAAGTATTCACATGTTTGTGCTGTCCCTTCCCATATGGTGTCAGGGTTGGTCTATATGACCAATAACATGCAGCAGATGTGCTGGTTTGTCAAGTCCAAAATTAGGTGGCTGTCATCTCCAGACCCTCAGATCACTTACTCACAGGAAACCCTGGCATGAGCAGACCTACAGACAGTCCTAGGTAGTAAGAAACTGAAGCATCCTGACAACAGCTGTGTCAGTAAACTTGCAAACAGACTCCTTGTGCAGGCCCCTCCCACATTAAACCAGAGTTGGTCTGTGTGACAGGAGCATACCACAGCAGAAGTGATGGTTTGCCACATACATGATTAGGGGATAAGACAGTGGCACACTCACTCGTGTTCATCATGTGTTCTGGGGAAACCATGAGCAGCCCTATGTGGAAGCCCACATAGCCAAGAACTAGTCTGCTGCCATTGGTCACATGAACACGTGTGGAAGCGGATCCTACAGCCCCACTATACTCGCATGGGAAATCCTGAGCCAGAACCACCCAGCAAAGCCACTCCCAGATTCCTGATGCTCAGAAGCTGTGTATGAAATAATAATGTCTGATGATTGTTTTAGGTTTCCAAGATTAGGGGTGTTTTGTTACACAGCAGTAGATAACTAATATACCAACTCTGGCTATACCAGGCTGGAGAGACTTGCCTTTGCTCTGATAAAAATAACGTAAACAAGATTGTAGAGGTTCTGTTCAGAAATTATTGAGGAAACACAACTTTTTCAAGTACCCTCAAGTGTGCTCATAATTTTCAGATACATCCATTTACATATAAATTGTTTTGTGAATTGTAAGCAATTTCATCTACTCATTAAAAGAGGTTTCCCCAAGGATTCCCACTGGTTAATGCTTTGCTTGGTTTCTGTTGATGCATGTGTTTCAGAGTAAAACCAGTTTAAAAATATTCCATGATTCAGACTTTTTATCCATAAAGACATGCTTTCCAAACAATAACCTCTATATTATTCTGAATTTTTTCTGGACCATCCCTCTCATCTTCAATGTTGATGGCAGCAAAGTTCAATTACTGGTAAGAACGAATGCTAAGGCGAAGTTTCATTTGTAAAATACACACAGACAGAACCAGTGCCCAGAGAATCAAACTACCAGCAAGAGAGAAAGTTTTCAATCGACTACTTAAGAAAGCATGAATATGGAGAAGTGATTAAAATGATAAACCTAATTAAATGTTCATAACAAGAGCGTTGATTTCCCATAGGTAGTTGTATACAATTGTAAAATTAAATAAATAGTAATTATAATCTCAGTAAAGTAGTATAAAACTTTAGCACTGAGTGAGCAGAAAAGGAAGGGCTGGGAAAGCTTGGAAGGGAGATCCTGTCTTTGGTTTCCAATTGCAAATAAGCAACTTCCATTCAAACATTCCCTGACAGCTAATGACTAGCCACATACAGGGGCCAGGATGATTCATTCACAGGTATCTCTCAGGAAGTAGTCTCCCATTGGTTATTGTCTCAGTCTGCCTGGACTGCAGTAACAAAATACCATCGACTGGGTGGCTTAAACAACAGAAATGTATTTTCTCATCATTCTGGAGACTGGGAGTCCAAACTCAAGATGTCAGCCTGTTTGATTCTTGGTGAGAGTTCTCTTCCTGGCTTGCAGACAGCTGCCACCTTGTGTCCTCACATGGAGAACAGAACAAGCTTTGGTGTCTCTTCCTCTTTTAATAAGGACACCAGCCCTGTCAGATTAAGACCATGCCCTTAAATGACCTCATTTAGTTTTTATCACCATTTCACAGGCCATCTCTCCAAATATAATCACATTTGGGGTTAGGACTACAGCATGTGAACTTGGAGAAGATACAGACATTCAGTCCATTAAAAATCATCATGCCATGGTTAGATTACTAAATGACCTTTGAGAGTCTGTAATGAAAGCAGCTTTAAACTTCACCAAGAAAATTAAAAATATATGTGTAACTCTTGGAACAGTCAAGAAATGAGCTGGACATTCAGTAATGCTTTGGTTTACTTAGAACTCTGTTTCTCTGCAACCATCCACAAGTAGAAATGGATTATTTTCTATTCAAACTTACAATCGGTCCACACTACCCTGAATAATCAACTTGCCTGATCCAGAATTTTAATTATTCATACAGCAACAACTATTGTACTTCACTGATTTTAAGATACATATTTTTTTTCACCTTTAAAAACATCAGGAGGTGACATAACTAATAGCACATTACAATTATAATTGGCACTGCTTTTCCTTCTTAGGAATACACATAATAGTGGTATATCTCACAACTGATGGCATCTTAGATTCGATGAAATATAGATTTTAGGTACTGTTTGAAATTTTTTTAACAAATACCATCCTATGCAATCTTATAAAAATGCTATGCGGTAGATACTATTTTTCACTCTGATTTTATCTTTAACAAAATGTACAGAAATGAACTAATTTGCCTGGGGCCTCATAACTAGAGATTGAGAAGAGGTGATATTCAAACCTCAGGATGAAAGAAAGGTTCGCCTCTTGCTTTATAGCTTGTGTTTTACCAAGTAAAGCCAAAAATGGCACCTCCACCTCAG